ACTACACAAAGCACATTACAGAGAGTGAACACTGAAACAAGCTGCCTCTTTCCAGTCTATATTTGTCCAACCTATTTTTATGTTACCCAAGTAATAGCTTTTATATCCTTTTACTCATGTACGAATTAATTGCTCTACCATATTGTATTACTTTTGTCACTACTACTACTACTACTACTACTACTACTACTACTACTACTACTACTACTAGCACTAAAGAACATCTAAATGGTACCTCACTAGTATTCACCTCACTCTGAGCCTTTATATACCCTCTGTGTCCATGTATTGTTTGTAATGGCTTGATAAAGCTCCTGGAGAGCGAAACGTTGCCACAATAAAATGTCACATTAGTTGCACTTGTGTCCTTTTGCTTTACATAATTTTAGGTTAAGCTAAAATAATTTTAGGTTAAGCTAAAATAATTTTAGGTTAAGCTAAAGTAATTTTAGGTTAAGCTAAAGTAATTTTAGGTTAAGCTAAAGTAATTTTAGGTTAAGCTATAGTAATTTTAGGTTAAGCTAAAGTAATATTAGGTTAAGCTAAAGTAATTTAGGTTAAGCAAAAGTAATTTTGGGTTTAAAGCTAAAGTAATTTTAGGTAAAGCTATAGAAATTTTGGTTAAGCTAAAGTAATATTAGGTTAAGCAAAGTAATTTTAGGTTAAGCTAAAGTAATTTTAGGTTAAGCTAAAGAAAATTTTAGGTTAAGCTAAAGTAATTTTAGGTTAAGCTAAAGTAAGTTTTAGGTATACACATATGCAACGGGTTAGGTATCTTTTTTTTCGAAACGTTCCCTACACAGTAGGCTTCTTCAGTCGAGTACAGAAAAGTTGATAGAAGCAGAAGATACTTGAAGACGATGTAATCAGTCCATCACCCTTAAAGTTTTGAGGTGGTCAGTCCCTCAGTCTGGAGAAGAGTATTGTTCCATAGTCTGGAACAATATATATGGAACAACACTTTTCTCCAGACTGAGGGACTGACCACCTCAAAACTTTAAGGGTGATGGACTGATTACATCGTCTTCAAGTATCTTCTGCTTCTATCAACTTTTCTGTACTCGACTGAAGAAGCCTACTGTGTAGGCGAAACGTTTCGAAATAAAGATACCTAACTGTTGCATATGTGTCTTACAACCTGTCGGTATTTTATACCATTTTAATGTTCACTAGAGTAAGTTATTTTATGTTAATCTAAAGTTATTTTAGGTTAAGCTAAAGTAAGTTATTTTAGGTAATTAAAATAGGTAATTAGGTTAAGTAATTAGATTAGGTAATTAGCGTAGGTAATTTTTTTTATCAGACTGGCACTTTCTAGCTAGGCCCATCGTCTCGTTACTCGACTAACCATTTACTTACACATTTAGGTAATATCTCATCTCTTTATATCTCTTCCTAATTATTTTCTCTCCAATTTCACCTCTGCCACATATTTAATAGTCACTGCTGTGTGATCTTTGGTACCAAATAGTCACTGCTGTGTGATCTTTGGTGCCAAATAGTCACTGCTGTGTGATCTTTGGTGCCAAATAGTCACTGCTGTGTGATCTTTGGTGGCAAATAGTCACTGCTGTGTGATCTTTGGTACCAAATAGTCACTGCTGTGTGATCTTTGATACCAAATAGTCACTGCTGTGTGATCTTTGGTACCAAATAGTCACTGCTGTGTGATCTTTGGTACCAAATAGTCACTGCTGTGTGATCTTTGGTACCAAATCTTCTTAGTCTGCTCCTATGTCAGAGTCACTCAGGGCGAAAACTAGGTCCAGCCACGCTGGTTCAACCCTTTCTCGTATTCTTTTAGCTCTGATACATTGGGTCATGAAATTCCCCACTGATGAATGTAGTGAGTCAAGTGCACTTAATTTTCCCTTTAAATGGCTTATTTACATTAACTGGGAATCGTTGATCCACCAAAAACTCTATTAAATATTTTCTTAATAAATGTACTCTACGGCCTTCGTAATAATGATATAGATAAATGGTTCAGAGAACTGACAGGTTAAGGAAAAGGCCACAAGTGTAACTAATGGGACATTTTATTGTGGCAACGTTTCGCTCTCCAGGAGCAAAAATGTCGCGTTAGCTGCATTTGTGTCCTTATACTTAACATATTGTGGGTAATTCTACCAATATTAATACAAATAGACAGGATGAATTAGATACATGTTCAACACTTGGGTAGCTTTACTGTGGCAACGTTTCGCCACACAGTGGCTTCATCAGTCTAATACAGAGAAAAATCGTTGAAGTTCAGAATGACTTTGAGGTAATCAGTCCCTCAGCCTGGAGTTGATGCAATCAATCCATCAAGACTGATGGCCATTATTTATATCAACTCCAGGTTGAGGGACTGATTACCTTAAAGTCCTGATATTCAACCATTCTTCTCTGTATTGGACTGATGAAGCTACTGTGTAGCGAAACGTTGCCACAATAAAGATACCTAAGAGTTGAATATGTATCTAATTCATCCTGTCTATTTGTATTAATATTGGTAGAATTACCCACAATATGTTAAGTATAAGGACACAAATTCAGCTAACGCGACATTTTTGCTCCTGGAGAGCGAAACGTTGCCACAACAAAGATACCGAAGTGTTGCACATGTGTTAAATTAGACACATGTGCAACTCTTTGGTATCTTTATTGAGGAAACGTTTCGCCACACAGTGGCTTCATCAGTCCATACAAAGGACTGTTCATCCTGTTCTTCAAGTTTCTCCTTCGTATGGACTGATGAAGCCACTGTGTGGCGAAACGTTTCCTCAATAAAGATACCAAAGAGTTGTACATGTGTCTAATTTATCAACATGTTGGTTCTCTGAACCATTCATCTACAATGTTGCACATGTATCTAATTTACTTAATGGCAGCCTTTTATGTTGCATTCTCCTTGCAACATCTGTTATTCTCCTTGCAACATCTGTTATTCTCCTTGCAACATCTGTTATTCTCCTTGCAACATCTGTTATTTTCTAGCTATTGCATTATTCTCCTTGCAACATCTGTTATTCTCCTTGCAACATCTGTTATTCTCCTTGCAACAGCTGTTATTTCTAAACTATTGCATTATTCTCCTTGCAACATCTGTTATTCTCCTTGCAACATCTGTTATTCTCCTTGCAACATCTGTTATTTTCTAGCTATTGCATTATTCTCCTTGCAACATCTGTTATTCTCCTTGCAACATCTGTTATTCTCCTTGCAACATCTGTTATTCTCCTTGCAACATCTGTTATTCTCCTTGCAACATCTGTTATTCTCCTTGCAACATCTGTTATTTTCCTTGCAACATCTGTTATTTTCTAGCTATTGCATTATTCTCCTTGCAACATCTGTTATTTTCCTTGCAACATCTGTTATTTTCTAGCTATGGCATTATTCTCCTTGCAACATCTGTTATTTTCTAGTTATTGCATTATTCTCCTTGCAACATCTGTTATTTTCTAGTTATTGCATTATTCTCCTTGCAACATCTGTTATGAACATCAAAATGGTATACAATACCGACAGGTTGTTAGGTAAGACACATGTGCAACAGTTAGACAACTTTATTCCGAAACGTTTCGCCTACACAGTAGGCTTCTTCAGTCGAATACAGAAAGTAGGCAGGAACAGTAGAGATGTGAAGACGATGTAATCAGTCCATCACCCTTGTAGTCGTAGAATTTGAGGGTTGGATCTGAGAGGGACATGACCTCTCAGTTGCCTCTCACTACTACTACTACTACTACTACTACTACACTACTACTAATACTACTACTACTACTACTACTACTACTACTACTACTACTACTACCCTGCACCTCTCCTTCCGACAGTATTTAAGTCTCCGCACTGTCGCTTGATCTTCAATAGTCCTGATATGAACTAACTTCTCCAGGCCGAGGGACTGACAACCTCAAATTCTACGACTACAAGGGTGATGGACTGATTACATCGTCTTCACATCTCTACTGTTCCTGCCTACTTTCTGTATTCGACTGAAGAAGCCTACTGTGTAGGCGAAACGTTTCGGAATAAAGTTGTCTAACTGTTGCATATGTGTCTTACCTAACAACATCTGTTTTTTTCTAGCTATTGCATTATTCTCCTTGCAACATCTGTTATTTTCTATTTATTGCAGTTAAGAACATAAGAACATAAGAACATAAGAACGAAGGAACACTGCAGAAGGCCTACTGGCCCATGCACTAACTTCACTATTCTGGATCCAAATTCATATTGTTTGTAATTATAAAGACAATCTAAGTTAGAGAACAAGGTTTTATTGAGACAATGATTCGTTTCGTATCGAGCTTTATCAGTCACAGATCTCTGTAAAGAGCGAAACGTCGTCCCAATATAATCTTGTGCTACGTGTCATCATTTCGCTTACCAATCTTACATTCTCAGTAATAACCCTTTAGAGAGAGAAACTCGGGAATTAATCTGTATATATCGAGCCCCTTCTAGGATCCTCTTCAGCTGAAGAGGATCCCAGAAGGGAGTCGATATATACATATTAAATAATCCCCTGAAGAGGATCCCAGAAGGGAGTCGATATATACATATTAAATAATCCCCTGAAGAGGATCCCAGAAGGGACTCGATATATACAGATTAAATAATCCTCTGAAGAGGACCCCAGAAGGGGATAGATATACTCAGATCAATTAATCCTCTGAAGAGGACCCCAGAAGGGGATAGATATACTCAGATCAATTAATCCTCTGAAGAGGACCTCAGAAGGGGCTCAATATATACAGATCAAATAATCCCTGAGTTCGTCTCCTTGTGGGTTATTACTGAGCACTGAGTATCTGCTATATGTTTATTAGTAAGATTAGGTTACTTAGAATTCAATGCTTTGTTTTTAACGTGATCTAAAGCACTTAAACATACTCTTACGCACGCCTCCGCACGGCTTAATACTATCTACCACTTCATTCTTGAGTTTAATCACGTTACTTCAGCACCGCGCAAGTTAATTCTGCACCATCTCCCTCCCCCGGCAGAAATCACCACCACCAGCACCACCAGCACCACCACCAGCACAACCACCACCACCTCACAGCTGTTTGTCCCAAAGGTTACCACCCCCCGGCCCGCCCACAACCATCAACAATCTTCCCAGCCGCCCTTCGTACCTTGGTGGAGTATTTTGGGTGAGTGGGTGACCTATAGCACAGTAAAAAAAAATCAAACCATACCACGGGTGGGGATAGAACCCGCGGCCAGAAAGCCACAAAACTCCATACCCCAAAAAATACTGACGGGTTTGTCTACAATTTTTTTTTTAAATATGATAAATTAATTACGGTCAAACTAGGAAGTATTGAACTAAGATTAAAACATAAATATAACAGCTTCTCGAGTATACGTCACTAAATTCAAATTGAAAAACTTCGTTTTTCTTTTCGAGTCACCCTGCCACGGTGGGACACTGCCGGTGTGTTGAAAAAATATAGAAACATAGCACTAGAAGTGGGCAACATTCTAGTGTTCTGTTTATTATAGGTGACCTCCCCTAGTACAGTATTTTGGGTAAGTGGGTGACCTCTAGTACATTATTTTGGGTAAGTGGGTGACCCCTAGTACATTATTTTGGGTAAGTGGGTGACCCCTAGTACATTATTTTGGGTAAGTGGGTGACCCCTAGTACAGTATTTTGGGTAAGTGGGTGACCCCTAGTACAGTATTTTTGGGTAAGTGGGTGACCCCTAGTACAGTATTTTGGTAATGGGTGACCCTAGTACATTTTTTGGGGTAAGTGGTGACCTCTATACAGTATTTGGGTAAGTGGGTGACCTCTAGTACATTATTTTGGGTAAGTGGGTGACCCCTAGTACATTATTTTGGGTAAGTGGGTGACCCCTAGTACATTATTTTGGGTAAGTGGGTGACCCCTAGTACATTATTTTGGGTAAGTGGGTGACCCCTAGTACATTATTTTGGGTAAGTGGGTGACCCCTATCACTTTTTTGGGGTAAGGGGGTGACCCCTAGTACATTATTTTGGTAAGTGGGCGACCCCTAGTACATTATTTTGGGTAAGTGGGTGACCCCTAGTACATTATTTTGGGTAAGTGGGTGACCCCTAGTACACTATTTTGGGTAAGTGGGTGACCCCTAGTACAGTATTTTGGGCGAAACGCTGTTAAGCAGGACCTTCCTGTACTGTCATCTTAATCTGCATGCTAGAGGGAGGTACTACCTACTTCTTACTTAGGTACTAACAAGAATGATACTAATTTCCCACATTTGCACTAATTACAGACACACATGGTATAAACCTTGGTAATAAATACCGACAACTTGGTTTAGAAAGACACGTAAGCAAACACTCTGATATATTTATTAGAAAACGTTTCGGTCCTGGGACCTTGATCACTTCCAAGGTGACCAAGGTCCCAGGACCGAAACGTTCTCTAATATGTCATAGTGTTTGCTTACGTGTCTTTCTAAACCAACAGACACACATACAGTGCCACTAAACCAAGATAAACCGAATTATAATTTTAATTTTAATTATAATTTTTACATTTTGATTCTTTGTATATAGAGTTATGTTCAGTACATATAATAATAATAAAAATAATAATAATAATAATAATAATAATAATAATAATGATAATAATAATAAAATAATAATAATAATAATGAAAAATAATAAAATAAAATAATAATAATAATAATAATAATGATAATAATGATAATAATAATAATAATAATGATAATAAAAATAATAATAATGATGCTGTTTAATAATAATAATAAAAATTTAATAATAAAAAATAATAATAATAATAATGATGCTGATGATAATAATAATAATAATAATAATAATAATAATAATAATAATAATAATAACGAATGTTAGAAGTGATAAACGTCCCAAGACCGAAACGTTTCCTCGTAAAAACGTCCTAGTGTTTGCTTACGTGTTTTTCTAAACCAACTTGTTGGTATTAGTTACCAAAATTTATACCAAAAAACATTAATACCAGACAGAATAAACACGAAAAAAACATAAAAGTTATTTAAAACATTACAATAAATTCCAGATGTTTCTAGATACACAAAACACGAGTAAAAAAAACTAGATTTGGACGTTTATTTAGCGATGACGGGAAAGAAATGGATCGAAACGTTGTAAGATCACCGGATTGTTAAATCCACTGAACGGCAGGATCCTGATAGCTTTGTTTCCTAATCTAGATCCACACTATAATTCAGCAGTAACAGCCTGGTTGATCAGACCCTGATCCACCGGGAGACCTAGTCAAAGTCCGGGCCGCGGGGGCGTTGACCCCTGGATCACCCTCCAGTTAGACTCCAGGTAAGCTCAAATCGATCATAATTAACAAAGGAGAATGAAAATATTCCCGCATATATATCTTCAGGGTTTAGCTCATTTAATTCTTCCTTTAAAAAGCAAACAAAATACCACAAAATACCACCAGTATACCATGGTATACAATACCGAAACTTTGATAAATATTCCGAAACGTTTCGTCTACACAGCAGTAGCAGTAGAGTGTCTCACGAAATCGTAATAACACACTTGCAAACAAACCTTTCCATGGGCGGGTTTGAACTCGTGGCGAGTGGCCCAGTGGCTTAGGCACTGGCCTGGAGTTTCACAACTCACTCGCCATGAGTTCAATCCTCTCCCGTGGTATCTTTTTTTAAGCAGTAGAGATGTAAAGACGATATGTAGATTTAACGTTTCGGAATAAAGGTACCTAACTGTTGTACATGTGTCCTATTTATCAACTTGTCGGTATTACATACCATTATCATATTCACTCTGTTAGGGCGCTTTTAGCAAACTATCATGGTACAGGACTATTCGATAATTTGCTTTTGCCAGACCACAATTTTTCAAAAGAAGGGGAAAATTTGAGAAGGACCTGCCCTCTCAATGTTTACATTCCAGACCACAAGTTACAAGTGAGAAGGGAGAGATTTGAGAAGGACCTGCCCTCTCAATGTTTACATTCCAGACCCCAAGTTCAAGTGAGAAGGGGGGAGATTTGAGAAGGGCCTCCCCTCAAATTTACATTCCCGCTACAATTACAAGTGAGAAGGGAGGGATTTGAGAAGGACCTGCCCTCTCAATGTTTATATTCCAGACCACAAGTTACAAGTGAGAAGGAAGGGATTTGAGAAGGACCTGCCCTCTCAATGTTTACATTCCAGACCACAAGTTACAAGTGGGAAGGGAGGGATTTGAGAAGGACCTGCCCTCTCAATGTTTACATTCCAGACCACAAGTTACAAGTGAGAAGGGAGGGATTTGAGAAGGACCTGCCCTCTCAATGTTTATATTCCAGACCAAAATTCAAGTGAGAAGGGTGGGATTTGAGAAGGACCGCCCTCTCAATGTTTATATCCAGACCACAAGTTACAAGTGAGAAGGGAGGGATTTGAGAAGGACCTGCCCTCTCTATGTTTACATTCCAGACCACAAGTTACAAGTGGGAAGGGTGGGATTTGAGAAGGACCTGCCCTCTCAATGTTTATATTCCAGACCACAAGTTACAAGTGTTAGGTAAGACACATATGCAACAGTTAGGTATCTTTATTTCGAAACGTTTCGCCTACACAATAGGCTTCTTCAGTCGAGTACAGAAAAGTTGATAGAAGCAGAAGAGACTTGAAGACGATGTAATCAGTCCATCACCCTTAAAGTTTTGAGGTGGTCAGTCCCTCAGTCTGGAGAAGAGTGTTGTTCCAAAGACTATTTCGCCTACTGTGTAGGCGAAACGTTTCGAAATAAAGATACCTAACTGTTGCATATGTGTCTTACCTAACAATCTGTCGGTATTTTATATCATTTTAATGTTCAAGTTACAAGTGAGAAGGGAGGGATTTGAGAAGGACTTTCCCTCTCAATGTTCATATTCCAGACCACAAGTTACAAGTGAGAAGGGAGAGATTTGAGAAGGACCTGCCCTCTCAATGTTTATATTCCAGACCACAAGTTACAAGAGGAAAGGAAGGGATTTGAGAAGGACCTGCCCTCTCAATGTTTATATTCCAGACCACAAGTTACAAGTGAGAAGGGAGAGATTTGAGAGGACCTGCCCTCTCAAGTTCATATTCCAGACCACAAGTTACAAATGAGCGGGACAATTTTAGAGGACCTGCCCTCTCAATGTTTATATTCCAGACCCCCAGTTACAAGTGAGAAGGGAGGGATTTGAGAAGGGACCGCCCTCCCTCAATGTTATATTCCAGACCCCAAGTTACAAGTGAGAAAGGAAGGGATTTGTGAAGGACCTGCCTCTCAATGTTATATTCCAGACCACAAGTTACAAGTGAGAAGGAAGGGATTTGTGAAGGACCTGCCCTCTCAATGTTTATATTCCAGACCACAAGTTACAAGTGAGAAGGAAGGGATTTGTGAAGGACCTGCCCTCTCAATGTTTATATTCCAGACCACAAGTTACAAGTGAGGGAAAGGGGGGTGGGTTTGAGAAGGACCTGCCTCTCAATGTTTTATTCCAGACACAAGTTACAAGTTGAGAAGGAGGGATTTGAGAAGGACTGCCTCTCAATGTTTATATTCCAGACCACAAGTTACAAGTGAGAAGGGAGGGATTTGAGAAGGACCTGCCCTCTCAATGTTTATATTCCAGACCACAAGTTACAAGTGAGAAGGGAGGGATTTGAGAAGGACCTGCCCTCTCAATGTTTACATTCCAGACCACAATTTACAAGTGAGAAGGGAGGGATTTGAGAAGGACCTGCCCTCTCAATGTTTATATTCCAGATCACAAGTTACAAGTGAGAAGGGAGGGATTTGAGAAGGACCTACCCTCTCAATGTTTACATTCTGCTAGTGGACTGTATGTCCAGTGTCCTGTCAATCCTGTCATGATTATCTCCGCCTCACCTTGATGGTATATAAGTCTCCATTCCGTTGCTTCAACTTCACACTGTTCCAGACTATGGAACACAACTCATTTCCAGGCTGAGGGACTGACCACCTCAAAACTACATCTCTACTGCTTCTACTGCCTCCGTCATAGTTCCCACACTGATCCCACTCGCTGGAGAGGGATTTTTCTATCGCCATGGCTGGTTCCCTCTCAGATCCCACTCACGTTGCTTGCTAATTTGACTTTTCCAAACCCCAATGTTCTTATATTAAATCTGGTCACATTATCCATTTCAAAAAACAATCCCTATTTCAAAATAGGGACTGTTTTTTGAAATGGATAATGTCGAAATAGCGACTATTTTTCAAAATGGCCGATATGAACAGCTAATATATCACTGGTATAGACAGATTCATCAATGGATTCATCACAAACTCATCCCACACATCTAGTTATTCAATAAATCTGACGACTTTGAGGACAGATATGATATGGTGAGATTGCCTCAGTAAAACTTAATCAACGTTAACATTCCAAAACTCCAGTAAATAAAATATGTAATGAAGAGCTTTAAATAGCATAGAGATAAGTTGTGGCTAACTACATTTATGGTCAGTTTAGGATATTTATTAGAGGGGAACATTTCGCCACGAGTGGCGAAATGTGTCTTTTAATATGGGTGCAGAACATAATGGGGAAGCCATTGCCTAAAAATAATTAGTCACAGGTACAATGCATTATAAAAATTCGACTGAAGAACCCATTCGTGGCGAAACGTTGCCTATAAAAAACGTCCTGCACTGTAACTAAGTGTCCTTAATCACATAAACGCTATTGCAAGTTTTCGAACGGCAAGCAAAAAATAGGGGACCCACTGAGGTCTCGAGAAAATACTGACTGTTTAAAGGTTTTCAACAGTCACCCATTTGACTGTCTAAGCAATAGTGAGATACTGACTTACTGGGAGAGAAAATGTCCTCAGGAACATTTCGTTTCTTCAGGCAGCCGTTGTCATTAAAAAAAAATATCCATACTCAAAAAGAAGGGAAATTATGAAGATTTTTCATGGTTTTCAGAGAGAAATTAGCAAGTTTTCACCCATTTTTTTTTTTTGAGAAATTTCGAGTTTCCCTCGTATGATGTTTTAAGGAAAAAAAAAACAGTAAAATTTCCTGATAATTTAGATTTTAATGAACTTATTGTATTTAATTTAAAGCATTTTGGAAATATTACTCAAAGAAATATTACCATACAGGTGATCGAGGTTTTATAATAGTAATAATGATATAATAATAATAATAATAATAATAATAATAATAATAATAATATCTTTATTTACTACCAGTACATGTACAAGGTATACCAGTACATGTACAAGGTATACAAGTACATGTACAAGGTATACAAGTACATGTACAAGGTATACAAGTACATGTACAAGGTGTACAAGTACATGTACAAGGTATACAAGTACATGTACAAGGTATACAAGTACATGTACAAGGTATACAAGTACATGTACAAGGTGTACAAGTACATGTACAAGGTATACAAGTACATGTACAAGGTATACAAGTACATGTACAAGGTGTACAAGTACATGTACAAGGTATACAAGTACATGTACAAGGTATACAAGTACATGTACAAGGTATACAAGTACATGTACAAGGTATACAAGTACATGTACAAGGTATACAAGTACATGTACAAGGTATACAAGTACATGTACAAGGTATACAAGTACATGTACAAGGTATACAAGTACATGTACAAGGTATACAGACCATAGCTGACATCAGTGACATACTACTATATAGAAAGCCGCTTGTTATGCTGAGCATTTCCCGCAAATTAGGTCAGTTTTGTCCCAGGATGTGACCCACACCAGCCCACTAACACCCAGGATGTGACCCACACCAGTCCACTAACACCCAGGATGTGACCCACACCAGTCCACTAACACCCAAGATGTGACCCACACCAGTCCACTAACACCCAGGATGTGACCCACACCAGTCCACTAACACCCAGGATGCGACCCACACCAGTCCACTAACACCCAGGATGCGACCCACACCAGTCCACTAACACCCAGGATGCGACCCACACCAGCCCACTAACATCCAGAATGTAACCCACACCAGTCCACTACCACCCAGGATGCGACCCACACCAGTCCACTAACACCCAGGTACCTATTTTATACTGATGAGTGAACAGGGACAGCAGGTGTCTTATGGAAACACGTACCTAAAGTTCTCCAGCCATACCGGAGGAGATTCGAACCCCGGACCTCAGTGTGTGAGCTGAGTGCGTTATCGATCCCGCTACGGGACACACGATCTATTATATCTCAAAAAAAATTCTCATACGATTTTTTTTTAGTATATGACTACACAAATCCAGAAAAAGATATTGAAAATACCATGAATTAATCAGTGCCAAGACAGAGAGATAAGATAAGATAAGATTTTGTTCGGATTTTTAACCCCGGAGGGTTAGCCACCCAGGATAACCCAAGAAAGTCAGTGCGTCATCGAGGACTGTCTAACTTATTTCCATTGTGGTCCTTAATCTTGTCCCCCAGGATGCCACCCACACCAGTCCACTAACACCCAGGTACCTATTTGCTGCTAGGTGAACAGGACAATAGGTGTAAGGAAACGTGTCGGAATTTCCACCCGCCGGGAATCGAACCCGGGCCCTCCGTGTGTGAAGCGGGAGCTTTAGCCACCAGACCACTGTTAGTTGTCTTCAAGAAACAAGGTGATCCATCTTGGAGGGTTTCTAGCCTTGGTTGGGTGACCAGAAACTGTGGCGGGGCATCGTGTGACTAGTCCGGTGGTAGGAAGCACCTGTCCTGTTTCCTGACCACTCTTACCTAGCCTGACCTAGCCTAACCTGTCCTAACCTAACCTAACCTAACATTACCTTATCTAACCTGTCCTAACCTAACCTAGCCTAACCTAACCTAACCTAACCTAACCTAACCTTACCTTACCTAACCTAACCTAAGCTTACCCTATCTAACCTGTCCTAACCTAACCTAACCTAGCCTAACCTAACCTAACCTAACATTACCTTATCTAACCTGTCCTAACCTAACCTAACCTAGCCTAACCTAACCTAACCTAACCTAACCTAACCTTACCTTACCTAACCTAACCTAAGCTTACCCTATCTAACCTGTCCTAACCTAACCTAACCTAACCATACCTAACCTAACCTTACCTAACCTTACCTAACCTAACCTAACCTAACCTAACCTAACATTACCTTACCTAACCTAACCTAACCTAACCTAACCTAATCTAACCTAACCTTACCTAACCTAACCCTATCTAACCTGTCCTAACCTAACCTAACCTAGCCTAACCTAACCTAACCTAACCTAACCTTGCATAACCTAACTAACATTACCTTATCTAACCTGTCCTAACCTAACCTAACCTAACGTAACCCAACCTAACCTAACCTTACCTAACTTTACCTAATCTTACCTAACTTAACCTAATCTAACATAATCTAATCTAACCTAATATAACCTAACCTAACCTTACCCTATCTAACCTGTCCTAACCTAACCTTACCTAACCTAACTTTACCTTATCTAACCTGTCCTAACCTAACCTAACATTACCTTATCTAACCTGTCCTAACCTAACCTAACATTACCTTATCTAACCTGTCCTAACCTAACCTAACATTACCTTATCTAACCTGTCCTAACCTAACCTTACCTAGCCTAACTTTACCTTATCTAACCTGTCCTAACCTAACCTAACATTACCTTATCTAACCTGTCCTAACCTAACCTTACCTAACCTAATATAACCTAAACTAACCATGTAGTATAAAACACTGAGACATAAGCTGGGCCCAGGAGCTATCTATAATACATTCCACTAATGTCCCGTAATTATTTACTAGTTGAAAAATGTACTTTTAAGATATTATTATTAGTAGTAGTATTAGTGTTATTATTGCAAGTATTATTATGATTATTAACATCATTGTTATTATATTATTATTATTATACTTATTATGGATATAAATAACTTCGTTAAACATCGCCTGGGCTACTTTTTACTTTCTCTGAAGGTTATCTGTGAGTTTAAAAGACCTGGTTAATGAGGCCATTATCATTCTCTCTCTCTCTCTCTCTCTCTCTCTCTCTCTCTCTCTCTCTCTCTCTCTCTCTCTCTCTCTCTCTCTCTCTCTCTCTCTCTCTCTCTTTCTCTCTAGTTTAATTCCCTACAAATATCCTTCCACTTCCCACAATCTCCACCCGCCTCAGGAAACACTTGTCCTGTATCCTGACAAATCTAACCTAACCTAATCCAACAGGCCAGTAGACCTTCTGCGGTGATCCTTTCTCACCAGTGTTTCTCCTCGTCACAGCTGTGGAGACGACCACGTCAGTGAGCCAGAAAAGGTTCATCCAGGAGAAGGAAGACTCAGTAAGGATTGATCCTGAGGACCAGCAACGACAAACTCCACTCAGTTTCGGATCATATTTTGGTAAGTTCAGATATGACCCAAAGAAATCGTAATGACACGATTGCAAACAAGCCATTCCACGGGTGGGGTTAGAACCCGCGGTCGAAGAGTCATAAACTCCAGACCATCGCTTTAGCCACTGGACCAGCTAGCCACAATAAGATTCATCCAACTAGGTATATTTCTACACCATAGGAAGGTTAGCATAGGCCACCACTAGTTGTAGCTAGCTGGCCCAGTGGCTAGCGCATCGGTCAGAAGTTTTATGATTCTTTGACCGCGGGTTCTATTCCCTCCCGTGATATGGCTAAGTTCAAATATCTTCGTTTCTCACTTTACACCTTATTAAGGAAAATAAGATACCAGATATAGTAAGCAAAGTTCCTGAATTTTCTTGTAACAGGTAAGTGAACTGTAGATATAAATCCAGATGTTCTCCTCTTAACCCTTTTGAGGCCTAGTTCCTAGGCCTATTCATCACATCTGGTTAACTTACGTTGCGTAAGATTAGGTTAAGTTGGGTTACTTTAAGCAACACACACAGTGTTAGGTGCGGATCCACCATGAAGATGATGTAGGTTAAGTTTCAGGGCCCCGAATCCCGGAGGGGGCCCAGACGCCACTTTAATCCACATTGCTTAAAAATTTTGGTTCTACTGTATAAGAAAGGGTTGCGAAGGGGCCCCCATAACAGTTCAAGCTTCAGGGCCCCAAAAATGTAGGTCCGCCAATGCACCACGGACATCAAAATCAAGTTAGTTGCCAATCAGTTAGACCTTTGATTCACATGGTAATCAGCACCCACCAAGGATATATACACCGTTCTGTGTATATCTTTCAGTGTATATATGCTGAGAGGTTACTTGAACCTAGCTTTGGAGATTCAAGTCTTCTTAAATGGTGGAATGCAGGTGTCTCAAGAAATCGTAATGACACGATTGCAAATAAACCATACCCCCGGCCGGGATTGAACCCGCGGTCATAGAGTCGGGGGTATGGTTTATTTGCAATCGTGTCATTACGATTTCTTGAGTCATGTTGACGGCAGTGAAGGGACTTGAGCTAGAGTTCGTCACGGCCACGCTAGCTGGAGATTCGTCTGTAAAAACTTGCATTTGTGGTCACAGAGGTGCCTGTGCTAACATTCCTATGGTGTAGAAATATACCTAGTTGGATGAATCTTATTGTGGCTAGCTGGTCTAGTGGCTAACGCCACGGGCTGGAGTTTTGAGACTCTATGACCGCGGGTTCAATCCCGGCCGGGGGTATGGAATACAGGTGACTTGCAGCCTTAATGACCCTCCTTAACAAACCAACCAGCACACACACACTGTCCCCTTGACCTGAGATTACCTTAGATTACAGTATGGTAGTACACGGGCGTTTCAGGGCACCAGGGATGCATCAGGGCACTAAGGATGTATCAGGGCACTAAAGATGTATCAGGGCACTAAGGATGTATTGGGCACTAAGAATGTATCAGGGCACTAAGGATGTATCGGGGCACTAAGGATGTATTAGGGCACTAAGGATGTATCAGGGCACTAAGGATTATCAGGGCACTAAGGATGTATCAGGCAACTAAGGATGTATCAGGGCACTAAGGATGTATCAGGGCACTAAGGATGTATTAGGGCACTAAGGATGTATCAGGGCACTAAGGATGTATCAGGGCACTAAGGATGTATCAGGGCGCTAAGGATGTATCAGGGCAATATGGATGTATCAGGGCACTAGAAGGATGGAGACTAGGATGATGGAGACTAGAAGGACGGAGACTAGAAGGATGGAGACTAGAAGGACAGAGACTAGAAGGACAGAGACTAGAAGGACGGAGACTAGAAGGACAGAGACTAGAAGGACAGAGACTAGAAGGACAGAGACTAGAAGGACAGAGACTAGAAGAACGGAGACTAGAAGGACGGAGACTAAAAGAACGGAGACTAGAAGGACAGAGACTAGAAGGACAGAGACTAGAAGAACGGAGACTAGAAGGACGGAGACTAAAAGAACGGAGACTAGAAGGACAGAGACTAGAAGGACAGAGACTAGAAGGACAGAGACTAGAAGGACGGAGACTAGAAGGACGGAGACTAGAAGGACGGAGACTAGAATGACGGAGACTAGAAGGACGGAAACTAGAAGGACGGAGACTAGAAGGACGGAGAGAAGAAGGAGGAACACTGCAGCAGGCTTACTGGCCCATACAAGGCAGGTCCTTCTCAAATCCAAACTCACTAACAAAAAAAATCGACGACTTTTCGATCCGTGTTCAACGTATCACTTGTAAGCCAGTGGAAGGCCTCGATCAGATGACCAAAAGCTCCAGTGGCGAATCATTATATAACTAAGACCAGCGTCAGGAAACACTTGTCCTGTTTCCTGACCGATCTTACCTAACCTAACCTAACCTAAACTGTTGTCACAACTGTTGCTCATGCATCTTACTCAACCATCTGTCGGTATTGTATACCATTAACATTCTACCATGAACCATACAGGGTTATGATGATCATATTCTGATATTTAAAAATCGACCCTTTGTTATGCAGTGGTACACCGTTGTACTTGCAATATTATGGTCGTCATATCACGGGTTCCACACTAGTTTCTTTTATTAAGAATATGCATTACATTACGTGTTTTCTTTCTCCTCTACAGATCACCCATCGTTGGCGCCATCATTAACATGGTCGTCTTCGTTGTGGGTGACGTGTGTGATAACGAGTACAGGACTTACCGTTTTGCTCGCTGATGTTGTCTCCTAAGACATCTTCCATCTTCTAGATTTCTTTGTGACTACGAACTTTGGATCTGCTGTTGTGTAGTGGAGATGTGAGAACAGTGGAAATGTGAGTGTTGTGGAGATGTAAGAATAGGGGTAACGTGAGTATAGTTGAAATGTCAGAAGAGAGGAAATGCGAGTGTAGTGAAGATGTCGTCAAAAGAGACATTTTTATTTTTTGTAGGTGATGAGAAAAAGGAACTGGAGGAGGCTGAGGGTTAATGTTGTTTGAGTGTCTGTGAAACATTACCTGTCTCTTGGTTCACCGAGTTCTTGTAAGCGACCCGAGATCCCAGCACACACTTAACGCGTTCATACATTCTTTACTGTTTCGGTCGGAGATTTAACCTTTACTTTTTTGGATGTGATCTAATCTTTAACGGCGTGGACTAGCGCAAGGCTTCGTAAAATGAGCAAAAACTCCATAGGTGTCCGGGGCCCAGGACTGTTCAACTGCCTCCCAGCATAAGGGGAATTGCCAATAGACCCCTGGTTGTCTTCAAGAAGGCACTGGACAGGCACCTAAAGTCAGTACCTGACCAACTGGGCTGTGGTTCGTACGTTAGCTTGTTCGTACGTCAGCAGTAACAGCCTGGTTGATCAGACCCTGATCCACCATGAGGCCTGGTCTCAGACCGAGCCGCCGGGGTGGAGACCCCCGAAACCCTCTCCAGGTAAACTCCACTGGGGTTATCTTATAACCACGACTCCAGTTAGGAGGACACTGCCCACGCAACTCCAACTGGAAGGAGAATCTGCCAGGACCTGGATCACTGTCTACAGGAAACTGATGTTATAAGCAAGAGAGACAAGCAGAAACGATGATCAAGGGAGGTTTTATAAGAACATAAGAATGGAGGAACAGTGCAGAAGGCCTACTGGCCCATGCGAGGCAGGTCCTTATGATAATTATTAGAGAAAGAATTTGCATGTCTCAGGTATGGTATACGTGAGACACCAGAAGCTTGGTAAACACAAGCTTGATATATAGCACATCTGCGTCTTAGCCCCCTCGCCCCTCAAAAAAAAAATTTGTCTATTTGTAGAGTACATACATAAACGGCATTGTAAAATATCTTTCGACTAAGATATATATTATATATATATATATATATATATATATTATATATATATATATATATATATATATATATATATATATATATATATATATATATATATAAGGGTTGGAATAGTTTTAAAAAATGCAGTATTAGAATGTGGGGCAGAAGTTTGTGGTTATAGGAGGGTGGGGCAGGAGGAAAGAGGAGTGATTGGTGGAATGATGAAGTAAAGGGTGTGATAAAAGAGAAAAAGGTAGCTTATGAGAGGTTTTTACAAAGCAGAAGTGTTATAAGAAGAGCAGAGTATATGGAGAGTAAAAGAAAGGTGAAGAGAGTGGTGAGAGAGTGCAAAAGGAGAGCAGATGATAGAGTGGGAGAGGCACTGTCAAGAAATTTTAATGAAAATAAGAAAAAATTTTGGAGTGAGTTAAACAAGTTAAGAAAGCCTAGGGAAAGTATGGATTTGTCCGTTAAAAACAGAGAAGGGGAGTTAGTAGATGGGGAGAGGGAGGTATTAGGTAGATGGCGAGAATATTTTGAGGAACTTTTAAATGTTGAGGAAAAAAGGGAGGCAGTAATTTCATGCACTGGCCAGGGAGGTATACCATCTTTTAGGAGTGAAGAAGAGCAGAATGTGAGTGTGGTGGAGGTACGTGAGGCATTACGTAGAATGAAAGGGGGTAAAGCAGCTGGAACTGATGGGATCATGACAGAAATGTTAAAAGCAGGGGGGGATATAGTGTTGGAGTGGTTGGTACTTTTGTTTAATAAATGTATGAAAGAGGGGAAGGTACCTAGGGATTGGCGGAGAGCATGTATAGTCCCTTTATATGAAGGGAAAGGGGACAAAAGAGACTGTAAAAATTATAGAGGAATAAGTTTACTGAGTATACCAGGAAAAGTGTATGGTAGGGTTATTATTGAAAGAATTAGAGGTAAGACAGTATGTAGGATTGTGGATGAGCAAGGAGGTTTCAGAGTGGGTAGGGGATGTTTAGATCAAGTGTTTACATTGAAGCATATATGTGAACAGTATTTAGATAAAGGTAGGGAAGTTTTTATTGCATTTATGGATTTAGAAAAGGCATATGATAGAGTGGATAGAGGAGCAATGTGGCAGATGTTGCAAGTATATGGAATAGGTGGTAAGTTACTAAATGCTGTAAAGAGTTTTTATGAGGATAGTGAGGCTCAGGTTAGGGTGTGTAGAAGAGAGGGAGAATACTTCCAGGTAAAAGTAGGTCTTAGACAGGGATGTGTAATGTCACCATGGTTGTTTAAATATATTTATAGATGGGGTTGTAAAAGAAGTAAATGCTAGGGTGTTCGGGAGAGGGGTGGGATTAAATTTTGGGGAATCAAATTCAAAATGGGAACTGACACAGTTACTTTTTGCTGATGATACTGTGCTTATGGGAGATTCTAAAGAAAAATTGCAAAGGTTAGTGGATGAGTTTTGAGAATGTGTGTAAAGGTAGAAAGTTGAAAGTGAACATAGAAAAGAGTAAGGTGATGAGGGTATCAAATGATTTAGATAAAGAAAAATTGGATATCAAATTGGGGAGGAGGAGTATGGAAGAAGTGAATGTTTTCAGATACTTGGGAGTTGACGTGTCGGCGGATGGGTTTATGAAGGATGAGGTTAATCATAGAATTGATGAGGGAAAAAAGGTGAGTGGTGCGTTGAAGTATATGTGGAGTCAAAAAACGTTATCTATTGAGGCAAAGAAGGGAATGTATGAAAGTATAGTAGTACCAACACTCTTATATGGATGTGAAGCTTGGGTGGTAAATGCAGCAGCGAGGAGACGGTTGGAGGCAGTGGAGATGTCCTGTCTAAGGGCAATGTGTGGTGTAAATATTATGCAGAAAATTCGGAGTGTGGAAATTAGGAGAAGGTGTGGAGTTAATAAAAGCATTAGTCAGAGGGCAGAAGAGGGGTTGTTGAGGTGGTTTGGTCATTTAGAGAGAATGGATCAAAGTAGAATGACATGGAAAGCATATAAATCTATAGGGGAAGGAAGGAGGGGTAGGGGTCGTCCTCGAAAGGGTTGGAAAGAGGGGGTAAAGGAGGTTTTGTGGGCAAGGGGCTTGGACTTCCAGCAAGCGTGCATGAGCATGTTAGATAGGAGTGAATGGAGACGAATGATACTTGGGACCTGACGATCTGTTGGAGTGTGAGCATGGTAATATTTAGTGAAGGGATTCAGGGAAACCGGTTATTTTCATATAGTCGGACTTGAGTCCTGGAAATGGGAAGTACAATGCCTGCACTTTAAAGGAGGGGTTTGGGATATTGGCAGTTTGGAGGGATATGTTGTGTATCTTTATACGTATATGCTTCTAAACTGTTGTATTCTGAGCACCTCTGCAAAAGCAGTGATAATGTGTGAGTGTGGTGAAAGTGTTGAATGATGATGAAAGTATTTTCTTTTTGGGGATTTTCTTTCTTTTTTGGGTCAACCTGCCTCGGTGGGAGACGACCAACTTGTTGAAATATATATATATATATATATATATATATATATATATATAATATATATATATATATATATATATATATATATATATATTATATATATATATATATATATATATATATATATATATATATATATATATATATATATAAATTTTTCTTTAGAAATACATGTAGATTTTTTCAAAAATTTTATTTTTTGAATTTATTAATATTTTTTTTTTTCATTTAAAATTGTGAAAAAAATTAAGCCTTGGTAAAAGACCAACTTAGCACACCTGACCCCGCCATGATGGGCATGACCTGACCTCGCTATGATGGGCATGACCTGACCCCGCCATGATGGGCATGACCTGACCCCGCCATGATGGGCATGACCTGACCTCGCTATGATGGGCGTGACCTGACCTCGTCATGATGGACCTAACTGATGTTTCTTAATGCACTGACTCTGGCTACAAGGGGACAAGAGCTAGATGTATCACCGTATTGGTAGTAGGAAGAGAGGATTAAGAGGAACGTGAGTTTTCCTGTCTTCTAATATCATGTTCACTTTTCCACTATAATCTACCTTGTACATAATTACTATCACATTTTCTTTGCTTGGTAAGGTGACGTCTAAGATCTTTCTTTAATTCTTGGTATAACTTAACAAATCTTTGAGGGCAACTGTGGACATCTGAACTTTGCTCAGACCTCCACAGTTGCTCTCAAAGATTTAAGTTATACCATGAATTAAGGAAAGATCCTGGACGTCACCTTACCAAAGAAAATGCTTTAGTAATTGTGGACAATGTAGATTATAAGGGAAAATAAACATTAGTGGACCCCCGGTTAACGATATTTTTTCATTCCAGAAGTATGTTCAGGTGCCAGTACTGACCGAATTTGTTCCCATAAGGCATAAGGAATATTGTGAATTAGATTAGTCCATTTCAGACCCCAAATATACACATACAAACGCACTTACATAAATACACTTACATATTTGGTCGCATTGGGACGTGATCGTTAAGCGGGGATCTGTATTAGGAGACGAGGGAACTGACATGCCCCTTAGAAAGCTTGCAGTGGACGTGGTAGACAGTGGTACCTTCTAACCTAACCCAAGATCCTTCCTTTCCTCATTGTAGTCACCACAGTACAGTGGTACAGTGGTACATACAGGCTACACTCATATAAATGGATAATAAAACTAACAAGTTGAGAAACGAGAAACTTGTGTAGTTTTTGGGAATCTTTATTGAGGAAGCTTTTCTCCAGCCAGTGGCTTCTTCAGTCCAATACAGAGAAGAACGGTGGAAGATAAGAAGTTTGAGGTAATCAGTCCCTCCGGCTGAATTTGATGTGTTCAGCCTGACACCAGTTCAACTCTCATCCAGTTTTTAAGTGTATTTACAATCAATCATTACGATTTTTTAAAGCTCCCATAAATCATTAGACTTTCAGCTTTTTAAAAATAAAATTAAATCTTTAATGTCATACAAATTAATTATATTATTAATTCACTAAAACCGATGACACAATAGAAGCTTCATACGTCAGATAAAACGAACACAATCTCAACCTTCCGACAATAGTCAATGAGTAGTGACATTTGGCGCACAACAGCGGCCCATCAAAAGAAAACTGACAATGACAACACTTTTTTCCTGGCAAACTATTACAAATTAATTATCGAGGCGTTGAAAATGAGAACTGCTTGTTCCCACTTAATATATTGTAAAATATCGTTGTAAAAACTCATTGTAAAATAGCGTTATTTCAATAATAGCAATAGCCGCTCACTGTGATATAACGAAGCCTGGTAATATAACGAGACGGAAGAATGCGTTGGTAGTGAGTAGCCAGTGAGATGTGCGCTCGCGTCCACGCCCCCATGTGAACCAATAAGCGTTGCCGTCTCATAATAATAATACGTAATAATCTTTATTTCTACAAGTACATGGTATACAGACCATAGCTGACATCAGTGACATACTATTATATAGAAAGCTACTTGTTATGCAGTGCATATTGGACAAATTAGGTCAATTTTGTCCCAGGATGCGACTCACACCAACCCACTAACTCCCAGGTACCCACTTTACTGATGGGTGAGCGTAGACAACCGGTGTAAGGAAACGCGCCCAATGTTTTTACCCTCGCCGGGAATCGAACCTGGACACCTCACCGCGTGAAGCGAGAACTTGAGCCACCAGGCCACTGGGCACTAAGTAACTGAAATCAAGCATAGGTACACACGTTTCCTGGATGGGGGATGGGAGGCCCAGCTCCACCTAGAAGGCAAACACATGTACACATGCACACTCACACACACACACATACACAAACACGTGTGTCGAGTGGGGTTCCACAAGGATCAGTCCTAGGTCCAGTTCTGTTTCTTGTATATGTGAATGACATGACAGAAGGGATAGACTCAGTGGTGTCCCTGTTTGCAGACGATGTGAAACTAGTGAGGAGAATACAAGTGGACGAGGATCAGGCTGCAAGCCTGGTCTGACAAATGGCT